AGAAAAAAAAGAGAGACAGAGACAAGATGCAGAGACAGGAAAGATGGCTGCTTGTCCAAGCAGCCCCATTTATTTATACCAATAGGTTCCATTAGGTCATTAGTGCCATAACTACATTATTGTTTATTGTGTCATTAGGTAGGTTACAGAGTTAGCAACATTGTGCAGCTTATTCCTCAGTTACACACTATAGTTGCAATGTGCAATGTTAGAAGCTTTGTGTAGCTCTCAAGAAAGTCATTGTTTAAAGTTACTGTTAGTGGCAGGTCCAGGAGCATCAGAGCTTGGTGAAGCATTGTAGTTATCTAGCAAGTGAGTTCCTTTATTCCCAGCAGCTATGTGGCTGGCATCAAGGTCAAGGCTGATAAGATTCTAGCACAGAGCCTCCTGATATGGGGCATTGCTACCGCAGCTGGGCATCCTGTGTCTTTGCACAGGAGTTTCCCTAGCAGCGAAATATTTCGTGTCTGCACAGAAACTCCCCTAACCACCAAGCATTTGCCATAGTCATGAAGCTATCAGAGACCTTAATCCTAAATACAGAATCCTTACAAAGATCCGTGGAGTACAAGAAGGAAAATGCAAGGGTAGGGACGGATGGGAAAGGGAAGAAAATGTAGAATGAAACTGACAAAATTATGCTGTGTGCATGTATAAATACTCCACAGTGGATTCCACCTTAATTCACATCTATAAAGCATAAATTAATTAATATGTAAATAAACAAATAAATACTAGTAGGTGGGGGGGAGTAAAGGAGAGAAGCCAGATCACGGGGACTAAAGTGGGGCAAATCACATTTCATGCATATATGAATATGTGAATATTACCCCAACTATTCCTGAAAAACAATAGTGCACTCTTAAACCATAAGAAAATTAACAATTTTACTCTGTCATAACTTCCTCAGTTATGGGATTGGTGGGATGATATAATGGATGACATTTATTACCTGTTCAGAAAGCTTCAGAGAAATGTCAGCCTCCCATAATTATGGGACATTGGCACTGTCAGTGTGATTGCCATAACTCTCTAGAATTATTTGGCAATACTAAGAATGAAATGAAATTCATGAAACAGTTTCCCCTTTTATAAAAGTTAGCTCTTTCATCTTTTTTTGGGTATGTATAAATTTATTTTTATTTTAAAAATTGACACATAAAGTTGTACATATTTACAGGTACTCTCTTGTTTCTTTTTTGTATATATTAGTTCCTTGTTCATAGTGTTACTTCTCTCCAGAGCACATATATCCCCCTGAATATTTGCCTGATTCAATTCCTGTTTTCTTTCACCCAGAATAGTACTCATGCACTAATTTTTGGTGATTCTCCCCAAAATGCACACAACAGTCTGTGGATATGTCAGGTTTATACTCAGTGACAACAGCTACTAGTTTAATACACATGTGCTCTGTCTATTAATACAATCAAGAATTAACAGGAAATGTGGAAAGTGTTGTTGCTCCTGATTATCAAATATTCTAGATGTAACACCATTGCCTATAATGCCTATAATGTGAGGTTTACATCATTCATTAGATAGTGTTCATTTTAGCTGAAAGAGGCCCATGGGGAACTGATAAGAATGTAGGTGTTTCTTTAAGCATTCCTGGAATCATTAGATTGCTATTTATGGACCCCCTGAGTGGGCATGTTGATTGAACATGGGAAGATTTTGACTCCCAGAGTCCACTGAAAACTGAAAGTGCTAGACCAAGAATAAAACAGAGCTTTGATATACTTTTGATGTGGTAGATATGAAAATTCTCTTATCTCAGTCTCTAAATCCTGAATCTTGAAACCCATTCCCACATGTTAATCAGAAGGTAAGGGAGGACAGGACCCTGGAGTTCAGATAGAGCCCACCCCAATATCTGCTGACTCCAAAACAGGTTCTTATCCTTTAGACTCAAGGGGTTTTCAGTCCACGGGTCCTCAATGTCCCTCCAGGCTGCTATTTGAACACTGTATCTATTGGTCGCATGTAAACTTCTCTTTTGAAAATTGCTCAAAATGCAAATAAAAATAAAATTATGGATTTCTTTAGGTCCCATGGATTCATCAGTGGCTTTTTTTTTTTTTTTGCAGCATGTGCTGTGGAGTCCTGCTGTGAACTGTTGCTCAGATCCTGATCTTCATGTTTTACGAATGAGTCCAAAATTGCTGAATACAATGAAACTTTGGCCCACCAGTCACAATTTGTTTTTAAAACTAGTTAATTTGATAACTCAAAAAAGTTAATAATTCCTTTGACTTTACTTCAAAGTCCAGTCTCCCAGTACCTCCCCCAACAACCAATGGTGGCTACAGCAGGAACCCCTGCACCTCGCACAGAGAGCTCATCACCATGACAGATGGCTACTTGTGGTTTGAAGGGTTACCTTTCCCTGTGATTGGTTACAGCCATGAAGTTTTGAAAGAAGCATGTGCTCAGTTTGTGATAAAGGATGAAGACACAGTATTGGTGACCTACCCCAAATCAGGTAAGGAAACAGGACAGGGACCATCATCAATGGGAAAGGCGATGGCTGTGTTCTTTGCTTACTCAGCAGAGGGGTGGCATGTGCTGTACCTGCCAGCCAGCCCTGCTTGGGGAGGAAGGGTAGTGCCCCAGGCCACTTCAATTCAGACTAGTGCAGAGTGGTGTAATGCTGAGCAAGGATCATCTAAGTTATTGGAGGGAGATATGGGAGTGAATCCTAAGCAGATTGAGGCGTTTGTGTGTGGTTGCCTGGCAGAAGTGGGTGGAAGAGCATGACCCATGAACATCTAATAGCAAAACAGTAGCTAAATAGAGATAAAAAGACTGAAATCGAGGTCATGAGGTGAAGAGGGATAATTTAGAGTAGGATAATAAGCATGGGCGATGGCTGGAAATCAGAAATGAGCCTGGAAATTTCAAGGGACTATGAGGACTATAGGGAGTAGGGACAGGAGCATTGCAGGGGTGAGGATTGAGGCCAGTGTCATTGGAAGAGGCACGGGGCTGAAGAGTCAAGGGGAATTTCATGGGGTCTCTCTCTCATCCAGCAAGGAGGTCCATGGAACAGGGTAGAGAAGAGTGTGGTTGCAGAGTCAGTAATCAGAACCTCTGGAGACCAAGCAGGAAGCAGGTCTGATTTTATTGCACAGTTACTATGTATATATATTACAGGCAGCCACCAATGCAATGTCTGCTAACTGCCCTCGCAGCAACCAATCGAGGAGTAGACTGTGGAGCAAGCACAGGGACTGCAACACATGGCCTCATGCCCAGGGCTGTGCCTACAGGGTAAGCAGCCTGCCACTCACACACTCAGCACAGGGGAGTGGCCTGCCACTCAGATGCACAATGCAATTTCCGCTAACTGACCTTGCAGCAACCAATTGAGGAGTCAGCCATGGAGCAAGCACAGGGACTACAACACATGGCCTCATGCCCAGGGCTGTGCCTACAGGGTAAGAGGCCTGACGCTCACATACCAAACAGAAGGGGAGTGGCCTGCCACTCAGACACCCTTAATGTATGCTGTGTATGCAGTACTCCATGCACTTGCCCCACAGGGAGTGATAACATATTAAAAGGATACCAGCAAAGAGCCAAGAGGAGGAAGCAAGCTAAAATCCATTCATAGATGAATGCATAAACGAAATGTGACATATTGACACAATGTAATATGATTCAGCCTTAAGAAGGAAGAATAGTCTGACACCTTCTACACATAGATTAATATTGAGGGCATCAAGCTAAATGCAATAAGTTGAACACAAAAGGACAAATACTATATGATTCCATTGGTGCAAAATATCTAGTATAGTGAAGTTCATATAAACAGAAATTCCAATGGTGAGTTCCAAGAACCCAGTGATGGAATAAGTAGGGATATGTAGTTAATAAGCAGAGAGTTCCAGTTTTTCAAGAAGAAATGATTCTTGACATTGGCTGAGCAACAATAAGAATGTGCTTAATGCTGCTTAGCATACTTGAGTGCATGCTTTAAATTGGTATAATGGTAAAGTGTATGTTAGGTATTTTATCATAATTTTTTGTTCACAAGTCATGTTGAAATGAGTGACCATCACTTTTTCCTTCCTTATCTAGGAAGTCACTGGGTGATTGAAATTCTCTGCCTGATTCACTCCAAAGGGGACACCAAGTGGATTCAGTCTGTGCCAATCTGGGAACGATCACCCTGGTTAGAGTCCAATGGGGGTTATAAATTGTTAAAGGAGCGAGAGGGCCCAAGACTCCTAGCCTCTCACCTGCCCTTCCATCTCTTCCCTACATCTTTGTTCACGTCCAAGGCCAAGGTCAGTTCCTAAAGTTTTATCAATGTTTTTACCCTTCCATGTGCCCAGATAACTCCTGTATCTTTCTGGGTGTCTACTCTTTGGGTAGGTTGGGTGAGACCTCAGGTTATTAGACATTAGGTGAGGTAATGTGGCCACAACTCGGACCACGCTTGAGTACAAGGATGTGGACCATTCCACAAATTAGCCTACCCTGAATTCAGGGTAAAGTGACTGGCTAATGTCGGAAACTTAGAAAACCACTTCTTATGTTCAACCTGAATTTATAACTGCATTTACTCTAGAGTTTCCCATCTTGGAAGCTCTTGTATATGTTTACCCATATTAATTCAATAAAACCCTCCTGCCAGGTAGGTGGAAGCACCCAATCAGTGTTGCCCGTACAGGGAGGAGAGTGCGCATACATTGGTAACCGCATAAATCCAGGGCACTGCTCAGGGGTTGTGGCCAGCTGTCTAACCACAGCATCCCACTGCACATCACTGTGCTCTGTGATCAGCAGCCACTCCAGCCTCCCTATGGCTGATGGACCATCAGCACAGACAGTGGATATCCAAGATCTAACATGCCAAAGACTAAATTTAGAAACATCCTTTCTTAAGGTGTGTGTTGACTTCTGAATGTTTCATGTTTTTATTTTTAAAACACCGGGAAACCTAGATAATATTCTCCTGCCTTGGAAATGTAATAAAGTTCCAGATGGTGAGGTTGTCCAAAAGGACCTATTTCCATGTCTTCTGTTGGGTTTATTAACCTCAGCTTGATTAAACTCAGGCCTAAGGTGATACGAGACCTCTAGTAACAACACGAAGAGAGTCGGTGCAAATACAAAGTCAAATTCTGATGTTCCAGTACCAAGTGGTGCCTCTGTGTGTGTGTGTGTGTGCGTGCATGTGTGTGTGTGTGTGTGTGTGTGTGTGTGTGTGTGTGATCTCTAATCTTAAACATCAGCCTCTTAGTATGCACCTAAGTACACAATTGGGCAACTATCATCCGGACCAGACATTTCTACCATCCAGAAAGTCTTCCAGGCCCCTTCTACCAAACAGGGTCCACCCACTGAGGGAAACACTCCCTGTACTTTAACTACAGAATATTTTTGCTTATTCTTGAATTTTGCACAAATGCATTCCTGGTATATGAATGTAATATCGGTGAGATTCCTATAGGGTCTTGACTGTGTGAATGACTGTGTATTGTCATAAATATGAATATACTATAATTTATTAATCCATTCTGCTGTTGATGATTATGGGAAAGCATACACATATCTCACCACTTACCATTTAAAGCTATCCAGCAGCTTCCCATGTTAAGTAGACTAATATCCCAGAATGTAGAGAAAAGCTATTCTTCTTCTATTCCTAGCACATGAATATAGAAAAAGGAATGTTAAAGTATTTCATTAATGAATGCTATAACTAATTCATGAAAGGAACCCATTGATATTTTTAAAGAGAGAGAGAGAGAGAGAGAGAGAGAGAGAGAGAGAGAGAGAGAGAGAATTTTTTAACATTTATTTTTTAGTTTTCGGCAGACACAACATCTTTGTTTGTATGTGGTGCTGAGGATCGAACCGGGCTGCACGCATGCCACTGGAGCATGCTACTGCTTGAGCCACATCCCCAGCCCACCCACTGATTTTTAATCAAGACTAAGTAAGAACTGCCTGGGTGAAGATTAATATCAAGGTGGGAAATGACTGATTCAGACTAATTTTTCTTTCTCTCATTTTTCCTTAATTTAAGGTGATATATATCATGAGAAATCCTAAAGATGTTCTTGTGTCAGGTTATTATTTTTGGACTATGACACATGTTTCTAAGAAACCAGAGTCACTGGAACAGTATTTTCAGTGGTTCATGGAAGGAAACGGTGAGTGTCCTGTGACATATAATTCTGCTTCCTCTACTCTACTGTTCTTTCTCCTAATTTTTTGGTAACCCTATTTTATTCTTTTTCCACATATGAGAGAAAACAGAGAACCGATGACTCTGTGAGTCTGGCTTCTTTCAATTAACATTCTGATCTCCAGTTCCACCCATTTTCCTGCAAATGGCATAATTTAGCTCTTCTTTATGACTGAGTAAAATCCATCATGTACATGGACCTCATGTTCTTTATCCATTCATCAGTCAGGGGACACCTAGGCTGGTTCCCTAACTTAGCTGCTGTGGGTTGAACCGGCATCAACATAGGTGTGCTGTACTGCTATAGTGTGCAGACTTTCATTCTTTTGGATAAATACCAAGGAGTTTTATGACTGGGTCATATGGTGGTTTCATTCCTAGTCTTTTGAGGAAACTCCACACAGATTTCCATGATGGTTGTTCTAATTTCCAATCCCAATAGTGTGTAAGTGCTGCTTTTCACTCACATTCCCACCAGCACTTATTAGTATTTGTGTTCTTGATGATTGCCATTCTAACTGGAGTGAGATGCAATCTCATGTAGCTTGGATTTGCTTTTCTCTCATTGTTAAAGATGTTGAAATTTTTGTCATCTAATTATTGGCCATTGTATTCCTCCATTTGTGAAATAATTATTCAGTCATTCATCTATTGATTGGGTTATTTGGTTTGGGGTGTTATGATTTTTGAGTTCTTTATATATGCTGGATGTTAATCTCTGTCAAAGAGGCAAAAATTTTCTCCCAACTTGTAGGCCACCTCTTCTTTGCTGGGTGGAAGCTTTTTAACTTGATGTCATTCTGTTTATCAATTCTTGGTTTCCTTTCCTGAACACTAGGAGTCTTATAGGAAGTCACACCTACACCTATATGCTGGAGTGCAGGCTCCATATCTTCTACAATAGTTAGTGTTTATGGTCTAATTTCTATAAATTTTAGCCCACTTTGACTTGACTTTTGTGCAGGATTTAGCTTCATCTTCAATATGTAGATACTCAGTTTTCCAAGCCCTGTTTATTAAACAGGCCGTGTTTTCCCAATATTTACTTTTGGTGTCTTTGTTAAGGATCAAATGACTCTGTCCTTGAGTATTTGCCTCTGTGCCTTCTATTGTATTCAATTGATCTATGTGTCTGTTTTGATATTAGTACCTTTTTTGATTCTGTACCTCTTTAGTATGATTTGATAGTGGGAAATGGGATAACTTCAGCATTATTTCTATTATTATTTGGCATTGGGATTACACCTGGGCTTTCAGGTGCTAGTTAAGTGCCACATCCCCAGCACTTCATCATTGCTCAGAATTACTTTGGCTAAGCTTAGTCTTTTATTTATCATTTAAATTTGAGAACTGTTTCTTATATTTTTTGAAGAATATCATTGGAATATGATGGAAATTACACTGAGTCTGTAGATTTTTTGGTAATGTGGCAATTTTGGTTCTGCCTATATAAGAACATGGAAGGGCTTTATACTTTATACTGTCTTCTTCAAGTTTTTTCTTCAGTGTTCTATGATTTTCATTGTGAGAGGTCTTTCACCTCTTTGGAGAGATTATTCCTAGAATTTTGTGGTTGTTGTTTGTATTTGTTTGTGTGTTACCTATGATGTACTCCACTGAGCCACATCCCTAACCCTTTGTTTTTATATTTTATTTAGAGACACAGTTTCACTGAGTTACACAGGGACTCATTAAATTGTTGAGATTATCTTTTGGACTCACAATCCTCCTCCCTCAGCCTCACAAGCTGCTGGGATTACAGGAGTGCACCACCACATCCAGCTACCTAGGTATATTTTGAGACCCTTCTGAATGGAATTGTGGTCCCGATTTCTTCCTCAGCAGATTCATCATTGTTACAAACAAAAGTTCTGGATTTTTGTATATGAATGTTGCATCCTGCAACTTTGCTGAATTTTGTTATCAGTTCTAGAACTGTTTTTGTAGAGAACTTTTGGGGTCTTCAAAGCATAACATTATATCATTTGCAAACACTGATGATTTGGCTTCTTTCTTTTCTACCTATGAATGTTTGATTTCCCTTCTCTTGCCTGACTTATCTGGCCTGAGTGTCAAGAACTCCATTGAATGGGAGTGGTGTGAGTGGACATCCTTGCCTTGTATTTGATTTTAATAGAAATGCTTCCAGTTTTTTCCCATTTAGCATGATATTGGCTTTGGGTTTGTCACATATAGCCTTTGTTATGCTCATCCAAGTTCCTCTGTCAAGGCAAATTTTATTGATATGGGGAAATACATTTATAGATTTGCATATGTTACCCAACTTTACATCCCTGGAATGAAATCAACATGTTGTGATGTATAATCTTAAAGTGTGAATACAATGTGTCCTGGTGTGTATAATCTTCATGTAGAATATGATTTGCTGATATTTAATACATCTTTTTGTGTCTGTGTTCATGTTGTTCTCTTACTCAATGTGTCTTTGTCTGGGTTGGGTAACAGTATGATATGGTTTCATAGAATGAATTCAGGAATGGTCCCTCTCTCTATTTCACTACCTAGTTTGAGGAGGATTGTTCGATTGTACATGAATCCAGCTGTCAGGGAGTGAAGAGTGACAGGAACAGCCCAGCCCCTGGTAGTATGTAACCTGAACCCCCTGTGCCTGCCCCACAGTGCCCTATGGATCATGGTTCGAGCACATTCGTGGCTGGATGTCCATGAGAGACAGAGAGAACGTCCTGATGCTGAGTTATGAAGAGCTGCAGAAGGTGAGCCCCCCTCTCATAGTCAGAGCCTGTCAGCTCCACACCATCCTTCTCCCTCCGACATCCCAGGTCCTCATCGTCTCCACTCCACCAAGAGGCTGTCAAAGTGCAGCCTCTTGGAGGTCACTAAAAATATATGAAAGCTTGGTCTCCCTTGCTGTGCTTCTGCTTCACCATCCCCAAGCTTTCTTCATGTCTTCCAGTTTATTGCATCTGGTGATTCTATAGAACCCTTCTACACACAAAAGCTGAGGGCCACGGCTTATGCTATCTCCTGGGGCTGCCAAGGTTTCTGCAATCAGGACATGCAATGGTCACAAAACCTCGTCATCAGAAGACACTGGGCAGAAAGCATTAAATCCCAGAGTTGGTTCACCTCTCTGGCTTCTCCCCTTGACTGATGAGGTGAGGTGAATGTGAGAAGTCACAACTGCGTAGCTATTGTGAGGGGGTCAGGGGATAGAGTAACAGGAAGGCCTGCAGATGGTACTCAGCCCTGGTGGGTGGGTGCAGGGTACAACTGGGTAATGCAATGACTTCCAATGATCTGTAGCACAGGGTGGTGACTGTGGAGAACAGTAATCAATCATACATTTCAAAACAGCAAATGGAGAGGATTTTGAATGTTCCAAACTAAGTCAATAATGTCTACCTGAGTTTGTAGATATGCCACTTATACTGATTGGATTTTTACACATTAAATAGGTACTTATTCTAACTTTATTTTTCTGCTAGAGCAGAAAAATGTCACATAAACTACACAAAAATTGCCCAGTGCTCTGTGTGAGTTTAATAGGTCCATATGTAACTGAAAGCTTTAAAATTTTTAGAAGCTTTTTCAGAAGTGGTAAAACATGAAAAAAAAGTAGAAGAGTGAACAGACCTTTAGAAAACACTTGGCCTCCGAGTGTGTCTTGGGGACAGAGAAGGTGCCACCGGCACAGGGAATCTGCTTCACCTGGAGAAAGGACCCTGCTCACCTTCCTGCAGCTGCTTCCTGTCCTGCTGAATCCTCAGCATGAAGTCATTTCTCACCAAGGACCTTGATGCCACCTTCAGCCACCTCAGCAGCAAGCTCCCACACGTCCCTGTAATTTTCCTCTCAAATCACCCAACACTCTTTGTAAATTATTGACACAGTTGTGTGTCTTTTTTATATAATGCCTGAGGCTCACGGGGGGAAAAAATATAAAAAAAAATATAAAAATAAAAAGCACTATCATCCTAAGAGGAAGGTCTAGGATTTCAAGCAAATTGTTTCTTCTTACCAAGACCTATTTCCTTGGTGTGATCTCTCAGGAATATACGTCAATAATTATGGGGTCAAGTTTAGGGAGATATTTTAAAGCCCTATGTGTTATCCAAGTGTCAGTTAAGAAACACAGTATCATTGGGTGTAGGGATTAATCTTTGGGACATTTATCTCCTTGCCTTATCTTGAAATCCCAACGCCTGCCTTTGGGGTGTCCTAAACTCAACCTCTCTAGGAAATGCACCCCAATCTTCACATCTCACACACACTTCACACGCCTCTTCTTGGCCCCTTTCTCTTTCTCCCTTGGTCGGGCATACATTTCAGTCTTTTCTTATTTTTATATCACTCCACTCCTCTTTCTCCCCCTCACCCCTCCTGACACTTTTGTTCCAATTTCCCATGTCTGCTTTCTTTCCCTTAAGAGCCTCACTCTTGATTGTTCACATTGTAGGACCCAAGAAGCACCATAGAGAAGATTGGTCAGTTCCTGGGAAAGAAGCTAAATTCAGAAGAACTGGACTCAGTCCTCAAGAACAGCTCCTTCCAGGTCATGAAGGAAAACAAGATGTCCAATCTTGAAATGTTGCTTGAAAAATTCTCTTCTAAGCATTTCAAAATTACAAGAAAAGGTAACTGCTCAGTTTTCAGAATGTATGGAAACACGTGGAAGGCCTTCTATGTTTACCACCCTACACCCAGAGTGAAGGTATTTGAACACATCAACTTGAAATGATTCATAGCCCA